GAGAGGGGGAGCGCTTCCTTTTCTTATAGTTCCCCCCCTTCTTGTCCCGTCGATCTGAATCCGGGCTGTTCACCTGCAGGTTGGGGAATTGGGACAAATGTCAGTCAATAATCTCCAGTGAAGACTTATTCCAAAATTTATGCTAATGGCTCCAAGAAGAAAGAAGAGGAATTTCACCTCATCTGTCAGTGTCTTGGCTGAAATCTTCTTTCGGCGGGAGACAGGGTTTTTGTCATCATTTACTTCATAGTCTTCCTCATTCATCCATTCATTGAAGGTGTCTGTGTCCAGGATCCACTTCGCATGAACCTAAGTACAGAGGAGACTGCGCTGAAGAGCCGCCTGGAAGCCAGAGCTCTGCCAGGGGCCCTTGACAGAAAGCCCACGGGCACCGATCTGCTGCTTCCTCTCTGAAGAGAGGCCTGGTCCTGGCACCGTTTTTCTGGGGGCAGCGCGGGAACAGGGCAGCTCACCTTCCGAGGCTTCTCGGGAGTCGGAGCATCTTCCACAGATGCTTCAATTTCACTGGCCGGGATCCACGTGTCGTAACTGCCATGGGAAATTCACCGTGAAGCAGAGAATCAGTAAGATGTGGTTGTGGAAAAGACAACCGGAAATCTTTTACCTTTTCCATGTATAAAAAGCAGTGTGTTGTTGGGTTATTATTTTGGTATAATTATTCCCCAGTTAATATTGGGATCCTTTCATTATAAAGTCATAAAAACAATTACAAAATATTTCAAAAATAAAAAAGGATCACCCTAACTACTTGTGACATTCAGTATATGGTTTTTCCCAGTAACTTTTTAAAATATATATATTTTTATTGATTTCAGAGTGGAAGAAAGAGGGAGAATCACCGATGGGCTGCCTCCTGAATGGGAGACGGGAGGAGGCGAGCCCGACCTGGGCATGTGTCCTGACCAGGAATGGAACCGTGATCTCTTGGTTCATAGGATGATGGTCAACCAGCTAGGCCAGTAACTTTTTTCAGTATAATTTTGTCTTAACGTAATTCAATGATACTGGAGTTATTTTATATCCTACTTTTTGCAGTTACTATTCATTCAACAAATTATCCATGTTATTTCTATAAATTTAAAGGCTGCATAGCCCTGCCAGTGTGGCTCAGTGGTTGAGTGCCCACCCATGAACCAGAAGGTCTATGGTTCGATTCCCAGTCAGGGCACATGCTCGGGTTTTGGGCTCAATTCCCAGTGGGGGGTGTGCAGGAGGCAGCCAATTCATGATGTCTCTCTCATCGATGTTTCTATCTCTATATCCCTCTCCCTTCCTCTCTCTAAAAATCAATAAAAACATATTTAAAAATAAAGGCTGTATAATAGCCCACTAAATAGACATGTAAATTGGCTGAAACATTTCCCCACCATTAAACATTTAGATTGTTTCTAATATTTACTTATCAAAAATTATACTGGGGAAAAAAAAATTATACTGGAGTAACGATTTTGCATGTAAAGCCCCGATTCTTTTAGTCTAAGCCTGGTCCAATAAATACCAACCTCCCCCAAGATAGGGGATTCACATAATAGGAGAGAGGAGAACAAATTAACAAACCTAAAAAACCCTAAAATAACCCCAAAAGATAATAAAGTGAAGAAAAAACCCCATACACACACACACACACACACACACACCTCTGAATCCCTCCTTGTTGCTTTGCTAGATGTTCTAGCACCTCCCAGCCTGGCTCTGTACTTACACCTGTCCCCAAACCCATCCTCACCTGTCAGGGTAATAGCCCCAGTGCAGAAGAACCTGCTTGTCCCTCTTCATGACTGGTCGCACCCATTCCTCTGGGGATAGAGACAGAGCAGGGAGAGAGATAAGCTAATGGGGTACAAAAGAGAACTCTGTATATAACTCCTGTTGCAGCAGAGAACCTGTAAATAGGAATGTAAGGCGGTAGGAGAATTTAGGGTTGAAAGGAGAGAGCAGCCCAGGCACCTCATGGGATCTGAGCAGTCCTCCACCTCCTAGTCCAAGCCATTCACTGAGGTGCCCAGGGAAGCCAGGCCTCACCTTCTTCCAGGTTCCCTGGGACAGGATACACAACATGGGAGGCACTGTTCCTATCCTCGGTGACCGTTCCCTGGATGGCACAAAAAAGGAGGTAAATATACCCCCCTCCAAATCACTCATCAGTATAAATAAGCCAAAATAAGATTTAACCACAGATCTGCCTTCCTAATCATATTTTGCTCAGAATGGTATTAAAGTGAGTTGCCCTCTCTACTAAGCACACACTAGCTCAATGGCGGAGGAAAATAGCTGGGTTTGTGCTAATAATGAAGAAAAGTCAAAGAATTAAAAACTGCTACAGATAATCTGAGTAAATAATCCACACATGGGAAATGTAAAGTTGACTGTGTGCCTTTAGCAATGACATCTGCTTCCTATGCTAGAGTTCCAAAGAGCAAAGATTTCATTTCTCTGACCTCAGGCAATACCAAGTTCATTGGAAGTAAAAGCTTTTCCCCCAGACTGAGTCTCTAGGAACAGTGACTCAAACCTGTCAAGCCTGGAAAATGGGAGGAGCAGACAAAGAATGGCCCAAGGCTTCAAGTCTAGTCATTTTCCAAGTAGGCAGAGGCACCTCTGCCGCAGAAAACATGGCTCCTCAGGGCTATTTATTGAATGGAAACATCAGGAAAAGGGTCGAGGACTTTCCAAAACCTCGCCTGACCCACCCACTCACCTGGTGTCTCTTGATAATGTCCTTTAATTTTCCTAGCAGTTTGGGTTCAATTTCAGGGCACAGAAAAATGTTTGGTCGAGACAGGCAATTATTCTGTGGGGAGAAGAAGTAGATGGAGTGAGATTATGGGGGAGGGTGTTTTGGATTCCTGCTGAGGGAAGGGAGGTGAAAGGGGGCAGGTTCCTGACCAGTACCTGCACCAAGGACTTCTCGATGGTCATGAACATTTCCACGTTGCGGTCCATGCGTGATGGGTTCTGGAAGTCGTAACGCCGCCTTGTGAAGAGGCAATAATCCAGTGAGTGATATAGTTGAGGTCGGGGGATCAGGTTAGGGTATGTGACTATTTAACCTGGGAAACTAGGAGGCAATCCCATTCACGGCTATTGTCAAAACTGCCTAGAATCTGGGGTTTACTGATTTCAACTCACTCTGTACTGAGTCCAAAGGACAAAGCAAAGTTTGAGATGCCAACCTAAGAATCCCTTTTCCTCTACAATACACATACTGATGCACACACACTCACTCAGTCTTGGAGACTATTTTGGCTCTGACTCCCAGCCCTTTTACTGACCTAGCAAGTCAGGCCTACTGACCTAACAAAGTAAGAGACTCATAAAAATGTCTACTTAAGCTCTGCCACCCCAGAAAGACCCTGAGGAAAAATTTACCCGAGGAAAATCCCTCTAAACTACATATAAAAAGCATCAAGAGAGGGCATCTCACCATCCCTGGTCACTCTTGAATTTGTAGGCAGCTGCAAGTATGTGGCACAGGGAGCCTCCTGCTTTGAAATCTAGGAAACATTTGATCTACAAAATTGAGACAGGGAAGAAGTATGTAAGAGTTACATCCTAAATTCTCTTATTACTTAATCCTCTCACAAAATCCCATGCTAAAGTGATCTCCCTCTCAAAGCTGGAATTCTTTAACCCCTGTGCCATTGTATCATGTAGCCTAGAAGAGTGGAGAGAAAGAAACGAAAAATCACAAAGCCCCACTTTGTGCCAAGCACTTACTGGGTTCCCTCACTGACCATTACAGAACGGTCATAGTGTTGTCATACTAATCCTATCTAGAGATGAAGGAACCAAGATGCAAAGGGTGTAAACTGCTTGGCCAAGTCACAGAGGCACCAAGTGACAGAGCCAGGATTTGAACACAAACCCGTGCAAATCCATGCCATGAGAGTTCCACGCACCAAGCTCACACACTCTGAAATAACCTGTTGCACAAAGTATTACTAAGACAAAGGGAATGGCAAACTGGGGACTAGGCCAAGGCATCAATGTCCTGGCCAGGGATAGGGATGGTAAAAAATTACCCAAATGTCAAAAATCATGAAATTTACAACCCCCCGCTAAAAAACAAAACAACAGCTTCTCCAGTTTTGAGGATTCACCCCCTGGCTTTTGCACTCACCGGCAGTTTAGTGAGCGGTGCATTGCTGACATGTTTGCCAAAAACTTCTTCCTGAAATTGTAGCAACTGTACAACCAGGCTAGACAGGGACTTGTTGGTGGGTGGTTCAGCTTGTATATACTGGGGAAACAGAGGGAAAGAAAAGAAAAATAGACCCCAGGTAAATTGTCCACCACTTCCCTATTTCTTCCCCAGGAGCTCTGGAAACAGCTGGGGCAGAGAAAATTGTGTCTTCTTCCCCCACACATCTAGTTTCTATAAAGAAAATGGCAGAAGGGAGACAGACCCTCGACGCCCCTCACCAGGAAGTTGCAATTGTGCTGCCCCCAGCTCAGGTACACCCCGACACTGGATCTCTACCCTGAGGGCTGTAAAAGTCTGAAGATTCCTTGAGTTCGGGCCAGGGAAGCAATACCTTTGAGGCTCTAAGTGAGACAACAGTGTATTTCTTGGGGTAACTTTGTGGAAGGCCAAGCTTCGCCGTTATCAGGTGGCTTAAGAAAGGTCAAGGAAGTGAGGCAGGGCAAACAGGGCGAGAGGGCAAGCATGGGGGCAAGCATGGGCAGAGCGAGCCCGTGCGTTCTGCTTCTGCGAGGGTCAGGGCACAGATGTCTTCGCGGGCCCTCCGAGGTGGGAAGGACCAGCTACCATCTAGCCTAGTGGGAAAGAGCAAGGCTGCACCTGTCTTTTCTGAGGAAACCTTAGCTGAGACAAGTAACCCTGGGCATTCTTTTTTTTTTTTTTTTTTTAACATATTTTATTGATTTTTTACAGAGAGGAAGGGAGAGGGATAGAGTTTGAAACATCGATGAGAGAGAAACATCGATCAGCCGCCTCCTGCACACTCCCCACTGGGGATGTGCCCGCAACCCAGGTACATGCCCTTGCCCGGAATGGAACCCTCCCGGGACCCCCTCGGTCCGCAGGCCGACGCTCTATCCACTGAGCCACACCGGTCAGGGCGCCCCGGGCATTCTTAACCATCCCCATGCTATGCTACTAGCATCCTTGCCTTCTGTTCTAATTTAAACCTGAGCCAGCAGGCAACTTTCTCTTTACCTTTTGACCCCTGTTTGCTCGCCCTAATCACAGAGCAGAGCCTCCTTCTCAGCGGGAGGTGTACAGAGATCCCTGAAGGAAAGGGAAGTGACAGGAGCTAAGCGCTGCAAAGCGGAGCCAGGGCACGGGCCGCCGTCTCCGCAGGGCTCGGGACGCAGCCCCTGGATGGATCTCCCTCCAAAGGTCAAAGGTAGAAGCCTGGGAACCCGGGCCCCGGGCGGAGGCGCAGCCAAGGCCGAGCCCCGCGCTGCCGGTCGGGACCCGGCACCCAGAGCCCCGCGCAGGGCGCTCGGGACCGGGACCGGGACCGGGACCGGGACCGGGACCGGGACCGGGACCAGGACCAGGACCAGAGCGGCGTCCTCCTCAGCCACTCGTCCCATCGGACGGGCTGCAGGGCTGGGCAGGAGGCGCCGGGCGGAGGGCGCCGCCGAGACCCCGCTCCGGGAGCAGAGAGCAGGCCGGCGGCTGTCTCGGGAGAAAGCCCGCATGTTTAGGTGTTGCTTTCAACAGGCCCACAGACAAAGGCCAGCCCGGGAGGAGTGCAGCGGGAGACGGTAAGGCTCCTTCCACCCTTTGTTCGGCACCGATTCTCTCCGGTTGGGGTGGGGGGCCGGGGGCAGAAAGCGTGGCCTAGACTCCGAACCCCAAGCCCAGGCCATGCCGGGCCAGGCGGCGGGCGGCTTCACTGTGGAGCCGGGGAACCGGCGGGAAGGGGCCGCTGCCCAGGAACCGGACCCGCGGCTCCCGAGGCCCTGCGGCCCCTGGGGGCGGGGGGACAGGTGACCGCCAGGTGGAGGCCTGTTCCGGCTGATGGAGCGCCGAGGGCCTGCGCCGCGGCTGTCTGCCCTCCTGCTTCTACCGAGCACAAAGCGCCGGGAGGCCTCGGCCGGCCGGTCCCCGGTCCCCGGTCCGCGGGGAGCTCCGGCGCGCGCCGTGGCGGGGGGACCCCCGCCGTCTCTCCCGGAAAAGAGGAGGGTGGGCTGCTGGCACCGGGCCCGCGGGGCAGAGGGCGCCGCCGGGGAGGCGGGGGCTGGAATGCGAGGCCGCAGCGGGGCGGGCGGCGGCGGCGGGGGGCGCGGGCCGGAGGGCGCGCGGGGGCGGCACCGGGGCCCGCGGCCGCCGAGGGGGCAGGAGCCCGGGCGCGGCGGGGCCCGGTCCCTTTGTCCCGGCCCGCGTACCTTCTTGTAGTTCTTGCCGAGCCAGAGCCGCACGTTGTCGAACTGGGTCACCGTGTCCGCGGCCTCGTAGTACTTCACGTTGGGGCCGCCGTCCTTCTTCCGCACCGCCATCTTCTCGGGCTCGGGCCCGCCGCCGCCCGCCCCGCTCCGCGCAGCTCCCGCCTCCTCCGCCGCCTCCGCCCGCCTCCCGCCGCCGCGGCCGCCGCCTCCCGCCGCCTGGGTCCCGGCCCGCGCAGCGACCCCTGCCGGCCGGCCGGGCGCGGCCCGACCCCGGGTGCCTCCCGGGAGGCGGCGGCGGGAGCCCCGGAGCGGCCGCTGCTTCCGGGCCGGCGCCCGCTGCCGGGACCGCTCGGACGCTGTTCTCGTGGCCTCTCCGCCCGGGAAGCGGCTCCTCTCTACGCTCCCCAAGGGGGCGCCGTGGCCGGCACCGCGCGCATCCCGAGCCCCTCGGAGCCCGGGACCAGGAGCCCAGACCCCCCTCCCCGAGATGTCCCCGCCTCTCACCCGGGGAGACCGTGCGAACGCTTCCCGAGCCGCCCCTCATGCCCCGTCCCAGCGCCTCTCCCTCCTCCATCCCGGGGTCCCCGGGCCGCCACCCTCGGGGCCAGCCCCTGCCCGCCAGCTGCTTCCTTTGCAGGCGACGCCGTCGCCCCTACAGAGCGTTGTGCTCCCTGAGACCCCGAGTCTTCGCTGGGTGGGTGGCCCTCCCAGCCGGGGTCCCCCGTCCCCCCGATGTTGCCCTTTGAGCGGCAGAGCAGGGAGGTGAGGAGCGGGGAGGGGGCGCGCGGACGGCGGGCGTGCGTCCCCGCCCGGCGGACTCCTTCTGTAAGTGCGAGGCCGGCTGCAGTTTTGGGAGTCACGGTGGCCGAGTGGTTAAGGCGTTGGACTCGAAATCCAATGGGGTTTCCCCGCACAGGTTCGAATCCTGTTCGTGACGGCCGCTTTTTTTCCCCTTTTCCCTTCAGGACCTGTAAAGGGAACCCCTTGTTTTCGCACATGTCTCGTGCACTTACCTTTCTGCCTCGGAAAGTGAAGCCGGAAGGTCTCACCCTTGGATTGGGGGGAAATGGGGGCGATCTTGGAAGCTTATTGTCCACAACCATATCGGCTGCTAGAATACAAGGCACTCTCAGAACTCTGTAACTGCAGGTTTGCTAGCCGAACTTTGACATCGTTTCATGCTTTCGGTAGGGAACAGCAAAGGATTTGAAGAAGGGGTTACGTTTTGTTTGGGAATGTGAATACCTGTTGTGCTGTCATAGTCAAAACTGAAGTTTCCAGGGGGAGAGGGCGCCTCTGGATTTGATGACCGGAAGTCATGTCTGGTAGGTCTGATTACAAATGAAGACCCAGGAACAGGGCATGCTCTCATTTGGATTTCCTTGAAGAGGTGCGCCTCAGGTACCACAGGACTTGGGTGAGTGGCCTATGGAAGCAAATAAGGCAGATCTAGCTGGAGCTAGCGTGGGATAACTATCACTTTTTATTGAGTGCTCACTAGGTGCCAGGTACTGTGCTAAATGCTCCATGCATTAGCCAAGATAGGGAATCAGCCCCTTCTCTCACCTGCACTCACCTCACTCAGTTCTTCCTGTCCCCCCGTTTCTGATTGTGGGGAATAGCTAAGATACTTGTGGAGGATGTTCTTCTTGTATTTCATTTCTTGCACAGCACCATCTTCTCCAAGGAGGGTCCCCAAAGGACCAGGGGTTCATACCATTGCTCATGCTGTATTTCCCACGCTCCCCCTCACCACTGTCTCCTTCCGACCCCCACCAGAACCACTTTCCATGCTGTACACAGGTGTGCTCCTCCTCTTTGAGGCTCTTGATGACTCCAGCTGGAACCTATCAGTCTACCACCACCATTCATGCAAGGAATCTCCTTTAATACACGTGTGCAAAAATTAATTTTTACAAATTATATTTATTCTACCTGCCAACTATGTCTCAAATCTGTCTGCTTTTCTCAGGATCGAGTGCAAGCTGGACCCATCACTAGCTGGGGCCTTTATTTGGAAGGTCGGAGTTCTTGTGAGAACTACATGAGTTGTATGGAAGCTGTACCACAGCCTGCACAATGTAGCCGGAGACCTTAAAACTTTCCACAGCTGCCCTGGCTGGCTTGGCTCAGTAGAGAGAGTGTTGGCCTGCAGACTGAACAGTTGTGGGTTAACTCCGGTCAGGGGCACATGCCCGGGTGTGCAGGAGGCAACTGATCAATGGTTCTCTCTCATCATTGATGTTTCTATCTCTCTAGCCCTCTCTCTTCCTCTCTGAAATCAATAAAAATATATTTTTAAAAAACTCTCCAGAGCTGCTTTTGGTCTCTTTTCTCTCACCACTCTCCCGTATTTCCTACTTCCATCCCCTGGCATTATTTTAGTTCTCAGAGTAGCATTTGTCCGTGTTCACGGTGTTCTCTGCCTGAAATCATCTTTCTTATCCTCACCTTCTACTCAGTCTCCACTTAAATGTCGGTTCTCTAATCACCTGTTGCCCACCATGTCCTATGGCCTATGCCCTAATCTTATGTGAATTGTTTCCTCTGTAGAATATAAACTCTTGGCACCTATAAGCTCTTCAATAAAAAAAAAAATTTTTTTTTTGAGTAAATGGATGCTTTTTACAGTGGTTTTGTGTACATGTTTTAGTCCTCACTCAGACTGTACTATAAGCTTCTTGGGATTTAGGATTGTATTTCATTTGTATCTACTCTCCTAAGTCTTACACATAGATGTGATCAAATATACTGTAATTCTACCGAACAGATTCAGTCCTTGGCTTCCACTGAATCCCATTTTGCGCATGCTCTCAGGTTTAAATATCTGGAGAGCCAAGACCAATATCGGCCAGCAGAGGGCAACCGACAACTATGTTGTGAAAGGAAGAAGGCTCCATGGTTTTATAAAATGGAGGCTCTGGACTGAGAATGAGAGCCTGGCAGAGGTTGTTTGGTTCTTAGGAAATCCACTCCCAGGTGCGTCCCTTGTCACTTTTGGCGGTGAGAGGCCAAGGCTTCCGATTCTCGTGAACAGTGGATAAGCTCAGATTGTTGCCATCCCACAGCCACCCGTCCCCACTTCTTCCATCCTTCTCCTTTCATCCCAACAAATCCTGCCTCTTTCTTTGCGTTGCATAATCAGGCCTCCCTCCCCCTCACCATTTTTACATTCTACTCACTGCCCTTCTTTTCTTCTGGTTCGGTATTCGGCCTTGCTTATCTGCCCTTAAGTTACCGTCTCACCTAGACTTGCAATCCCACTCATTTCAATCTCCTAAGGAACCTTCTGTAAGTACCCTTCCATAATATGTTCAAATTCTCCTCCTGCTGGATCAATCCTCCTCCTTTTAATCTTTTAGTTATTTTATTTTTTATAATGGATCAATCCTCCTTTAATTCAGAACAAAACTACACCTGACACTTACGAACCACCACATTGTTTTTTACTTCCTTTTCTTTTTTGAATAAAATGCATACTTTCTGCCTGCGGCTTCCTATTATCTTAACAACCCTGTGGTACAAATCTTTGCTGTGTTTGAAACCATTGATTTCTTAATGGGCTGCAGAGACACTGTACCCGGTTTTTCTCTTAGAACAGCGATTTTCAACCTTTTTCATCTCGTGGCACACATCAACTAATGACTAAAATTCTATGGCACACTAAAAAATAAGTTTTTAGCCGATCTGACCAAATAAGAACGTATAATTTTGATTCATTCACACCAAATGGTTATTGTTGCGTTGGCTGTTGTCTTTTTTTTTTTTTTTTTTTTTGACAGTCGGCAAAAGAGGTCAGTGCCCCTGACTAAATTAGTCAGGTATTGCATATTTTAAAAATTCTTGAGAGCTATAGGCAGTTTGGCTCCTTGGATAGAGCGTTGGCCTGTGGACTGAAGGGTCCTGGTTTCGATTCTGGTCAGGGGCAACATGCCCAGTTGCGGCCTCCATCCCCAGTAGGAGACGTGCAGGAGGCAGCTGATCAATGATTCTCTCTCATCACTGATGTTTCTGTCTCTCTCTCTGTCTCCCTTCCTCTCTGAAATCAATAAAAATATATTTTTAAAAAATTATTGAGGCATACTGGTGGAAAATCGCTGTTAGAACACTGTTTCATCAACAAGTAAAGTAAGGTTTGCCCTAGCTGGTTTGGCTCAGCGGATAGAGCGCCAGCCTGTGGACTGAAGGGTCCCAGGTTCTATTCTGGTCAAGGGCACATGCCTGGGGTTGCCAGCTCAATCCCTGGTGGGGGGCATAAAGGGGGCAGCCAATCAATGATTCTCTTTCATTATTGATGTTTCTATCTCTCTCTCTCCTCTCACCCTTCCTCTCTAAAATCAAAAAATACATATTAAAAAAACAAGTAAACTAAGGTT